CCTAGCACTGTGCACACACCATTCCATGGATGACTAGTTACTGCTGGCACCATCTTTTCGGTTGTCAGAACATCACACCTGGATTCTACTTTCAGAAACAACCAAGGCAGGCTTTGTTATCAGAGTTGAGACATTTGTTCTCACTCCAACACAATATATCATTATTCTGGGTATTTTTTTCATTATGTATTTCAGTCGGTATCAGCTGACTCCCATATGACTCCACACTATGGGACAGGAAGTCTGACTCTTACTCACCTCTCCTTCTTCCTCTGCATGGGTGGTTCTTTCTCTTTTGGGAATGTGGGCATCACTTGAATCCCTCATGTCTTTGGGATGAGTGCACAAGAGATCCCTTTAATGGTCTTTATGCCACCAATGGATCATAAACATTGATTCACTGGATTCCCCAGTTTACTTATTCAGGAAGGGCTAAGGGCAATTAAGTGGGGTATAAAAGACTGGAGCACGGAGAAAAATCAGACCAATGCTTAGATGGGCAACAGGAGAAACCTTTGCAGTCAAGTAATAGCTGTAGTGTGTATATGAGGGGGTAAGTATTACTGGAAATGTATTTTCGATTTAAGAAAATTATCTAGGTGAAGTGAGCAATGAGAATGGTGAATGCTTCCACCATGAAATTTATATAATGGAACAGTGATATCAAGGACAATGGAATCCTGCAATAATAGGAGATTAATATAAAAAAATATTACCATGATGAAAGTTTTGAACATAGCCTGAATGTATTTTCAGTATATAATATTATTATTTTCATTGCTTTTTTAAACTAGTATTGCTATTATGTATTGTTTTTGAACATTTTTAAATGCAATTTTCAATGAATAAATTAAGTTATTAAAGAAAAAGTTATTTTCATGATATATATCAATATTTTGCATAAATCTATCGTAACTTGAAAAACTGGAGGGGATCAGTAATTCTCAATATGATTTTTAGAATCAGCATTGTCAAATTACTCAGAAACAGTTTCATTTTTTTGAGTGGCAGAGAAAAGTTTTTTGTTAATGCCTAGTGTAATTATAAATTTAAGTAAACTGATATAGGCTAGTTCACATAGTAGATTTGATATAAATATCATTGGAACTCTTTCATTGTTTTTGTGTTAGTGCTAGATGCTTGCCACTTTACCATTTGTGATTAATGTCACAAATTGTGGAGTGTAGAATCCTATTGTTTGTCACAATGACAATGAGAATCTGTAAAGTTTACACTCAATCATTGATAAATTTATTTTCTGATCCTCTTGTCTTCTTTTTTAATCTGCTGATTGCATGGTTGTAATCTATATTTGTTTTATTGAATTTTGCACACAGCTATTCAAAGACTTTTCAAGATAACCATCCTTAATTTTGAAAAGATAGACTAGAGGGAAGGCAACTAACTAGTCAACACCATCCAATGGCTGAAAGGGTGAGTATTTCATTGATATATTTCATAACCACAACCTGCAGATTGCAAGTCAAATGCCCTAACCACAAGGCCATGCCAAATCCATCTGTATTTGTACCTCATACAGAAGTAAATAGAACAGATTGCTGTTAGATATACATGACTGTTTCAGTTTAATGCGAGAGTTATGGTTTAGATAATTTGTACAGTGCAAATGTTAAATTTAGTTATTTTTAAAAGCAATATTTTATCACAGGTTTGTTTACATAAGTGTTTACGAATCATACATTGTGTAGTTCAATAGTTATGAACTGGTGCTTGTTATATTATTGCATCATATTACTAGAACCATCTGGGTTATTCTCGTTGTTTCAATCGAGTATTATTGCATCATAATATCTAGTATTGTGTGGAATTCTAGACCTGTGTCGAGGTATAAATACACTTTGAAAATTTAGTTCAAAAAGAAATATATATATATATCTAGACTGTGTGATTGTGAGTTTAGCCATTAAGAGAATATAGTGGTGATGTTTTAAAATGCAATTATTACAGATTGTGTTGTAATAACAGAGTAGAGAAGAATAATTTGTTTTGTCAATTGTGTACTAAAGTACTTTAACCAGCCTGTGTATACTTTGATGAAAAAGAGACAATTATTTAAAGCTCTGGATACAACTGTCATAACCAACAGTGTAATTAACATTTGTTTATACATTTGAAACTAGTAGACTGTGTGCTGTTTGTTTATTGTTGAAATTTTTTGACAACAAGTCACAGACACCTACTGTAAAAATCCAACCCATACCAAAAAAAAACCTGACAATTGCATTATGATGAAATTGCTATTTGACCTACTGGAAGCACCACTCTACAGAATTTCAAATATTGTAGCTATTATGTATCAACAGGTGATTTATTTACATTGTCATTCTGTAGAAGTAATAGTCTTTTTTGTATTTCCAGCTCCAATGACTTATAATTTTGACCAATTCTTTCTTATTCGGGGAACAAAATAGTTTGGTAGATTTGATTAGCAGAAACTGCTAATCAATATTGAATTTGATTAGCAATTAGCAAATAATGCTTAGCATCCTTTTAACATTCATCATTTTAACACATTATGGCAACTAAATCCAGTGCTAAAAGTTTTAACTCTTTGTAAAAACATCCACTAATGAAAATGAGGTAAATGGTATGTTTTTATTCTAATAACACATTTATTCAGCTTTAAACCCTAATACATAATTGTACCATACATGGCATTTCATGAACAAAATAGTTTCTGGTATATAAAGTAATACTTCAAAACTGCAAGAAACACCAAACACTTCAGCTGTGACAAAATAAAACAACAATTGATTAACCAGAGAAAGAGTGACTTGAAGATATTGCAACTGAATGAGGCTGCCACAAATTTTTTGCTGTTTTTTTATGAGACCTCATCTCTCTCTCTTCACAATTTGTGATGCGAACCTAGATATTTTGTCCCCTATTATTAGTAGTAGAGCTCCTATCATGTGTTCAAAATAGCCTCTTTGAATAACAAGTGCTGCATCTCAATAATATGAAATATGATACAGGAATTTTCAGTAGAGGCCATGGGCACCACAGATCTGCCAACATGCATGGTGAAAAACAAAATATTGGAAACATTTCAAAATTTTCAGACCACAACATTATATACCATCATGTACAACAAATAAATGTAGCCATTAAGAACTTTAGTCATAATGTGATTTCAATAGCTACATTTATGCTATCACCACTATGCATACAAAGTCGTGTATATTGTACTGTATTTTTAAGTCATAATTGCAACCAGTCACTGTTGTAATGATATAGCTATTGTTGAATGATTCAAATCATTATTAAATAACTACAGATGGTTTGTTTATGCGCTTTGAACTAAAGACTTAGCTTATTGACCTTTACATTTGCAGGTCTCTAGATAATCCTACATTTTGATGTGCATTTAATTTCATGTTTCAAATTTAGCACTTAATTATATCAAGGTCCAGAAGTATTATGATTTCCACTGAGAGTGTCCCTCGTCTAGCAGTTTCACTATCTGTCTGTGCATAAGTGCATAGCATTAATGGCATAAAATAGCCATGGGAGTTATGTTACAAGTGACATAAGTATAACCACTACAATAAATGTAAGATAACTGTTATAGCTAATTGAATATATTTTCATTAATTGAAATTAAGACAATGGTTAAGACTATTTTTTTTTTTTTACCTCAGCATTAACATGTAAGCTGTGTGTGATATTCGTGCATGTTGTAATGGCTCTTAAGGCACTTAATGTTGCCATTATTCTCTGGAGGTTAAGTATATTATATTAAAATGATTTTCTAGACTCATATTTTTACAGTTCATGTTACCACATCTGATCATGCTCTTTCTGACAAACTTGGATCTTGACAATAGTCTTGCAGTTTCCATTACAAGAAATTTCATCATAAGGCAGTCATGCTTAAATCACATCCCTCCTCCCTGTATTCTTTCTATAATCTATCTAGTGTACAAGGACAACCATTTCGCAGTGCCTATTTCAACTGTCTGATCATGAAAAAATTCATAGCTGCTATTTCTTATGATTTACTAATATTACTTTGCATGGAATAGCATGAATACCCATTTCATTCTCCAGTTGCTTGAGGTATGTGACAGTTGAATGGATATGTCATGGAAGCAGACTGTGTACATGTGGCTTGTGTTGCCTTTACAGACAAAGATCTTTCTTTATTACATTATATATTGTTGCCTGGGGCAAACAGATGGCTTTTGTTATTGACTTTTGTGTTCATAGATTCTCACCTGTCACAAAATGCCATACTTTGCTTCCAGTGACTTGTTGCAGCCGTTTTTTCTGGGTGGTAATGGTGTACCAAGTTGATTTATGTTCTTTTACTTTCTAAAGTCATTAAGGGATACCCACATTTTTCACTTTATAAAACCCTAATTGGAATACTTTTTATGATCTGACAGTGTAATATTCTTGTTGGAAAGGGCTGTTACATACCATTCTCAAAAGTGATCAGTTTTTGTTGGCATCACACTACCTACAAAATGCCAAACAATGTAAAAATGTAATTCTGATGCACTTCATCTCTCTATATTGGCTGAGATTTGCTGATCTGTGTATTTAAAATTGTCTTACTGTAACATACTTAACCCTCTGTATGATTGTTTGTGTGCATGAACATTGGATTTCATATATGGTGTTACTGTTTATTATGGATGGTTTCCACAAGGTATGTATAAGGATGAATTTAAGATATTTTTCTTTCTTGAATTTAACTTCTCACTCAGGTTTGAAACAAGAAGACTAGATCTGCTGATCCACCAGTTCTTTTGTATGATGAGTAAAGTTGATAAAGTAAAAATTAATAATGATAAATAATTGTTATTAGATTAAATAAATATATAATAATGTGTTATTAATCCTTGTAAATGACTTAATAAGTTGATAAAAATGTCACTTCACCAGCTCAATCTAGTTCGCACCATATGGCAATTGTTGTTCATGCAATTTGATAAGTAACATCTCAACCATAAATATGTGTGTTATATCTCAGCTGGCCTTTGAGCCTTGATATTAAGGACTGATCAGCACTGGTTATACCAGACATAGTGTGTTTGAGATATTATTACAAATTTTTCTTTACTTTCAATCAGCAGTTCTTAGAATTATGATCTGTTGCTGTTGATCTCACATATTTGGATGAATGATATATCTCAGGTTTAAATATAGAAAGAAAGAAAAATGTTTGTATTGTGCAACTAAGAGATGGCAACTAAAAGCTACAATCACACCGAGGGCCATCTGAACTGAATAGATCATAAAACAAACCATGTCAGCAGTTGGCTCGATATTCGCTTAGCATGTTTGGGTGGGTGGGTGGCTGGATGATAGCTGGGGTGTGTCGTGTGTTGTCGAGTTACAGATGTTGTGTTGTGTTATATACGTATGGTTAGCTAGAGGATAGCTGGAGTGTGTCATGTGTTGATAAGTTAGAGATGCTGTGTTGTGTTATATACTTGTGATTGGGTAGAGGATAGCTGGAGTGTGTCACGTGTTGATGATATAGTAATGCTGTGTTATGTTATATATTTCTATTTGGCTAGGGGGTAGCTAGAGTGTGTCATGTTTTGATAATATAGAGATGCTGTGTTGTGTTATATATTTGTAGTATGATTTTACTAGATTGGATAGCAGGCTCAATAGCAAACTTTGTTTGAGTCTGAGGGTTGTCATGGTCAAGATGAGGCTTATCTACATGGTAGAGTATTGGTCTCAGAACACTTTTGTAAACTGATAGTCTTGTGTTCTAAGCCCAGTGTGCATAGATTTCTTAACATTCTGATGTCTTGTAGTATATTGTTATGACAGCAGAAGTCACGCTATGCTGGGAGCATGCGCGCTGGAGTTTCTAGAAAGATCATAACTTATCGAGGAACCTCGCAAATGTCTGAGTGTTTGCCAGGCGCCCTCTTTTTTAATATATAAGCCCGGCAAATAAAACCAGCGATATATAAATTGAAGATAGAGATAACTGAGTCAAGCGAACAGTAGGCACCGTAAGTAAAGTGTGTG